AGTGCCTGTTCATATCCTTTGCCCATTTTTTAATTGGGTTATTTGTCTTTTTGTTGTTGAGGTTTTGCAGTATCTTGTAGATTTTAGAGATTAGACGGTAATCAGATTTGTCGTAGCCAAAAATTTTTTCCCAGTCTGTAGGTTGTCTTTTTTTACTCTTTTGGTAAAGTATTTTGATGAGCATATGTGTTTGGTTTTTAGGAGCGCTCATCACTGTTTTCAGATTTTTTGTACAGTACCACCTTTTTCAGGAACTATTCTGCATGGTCACTAGCTACCTTTCTCTGCTTAAACAGAAATATATCTCTATACCTAGAACTAGATATATAGTTAATATGTGTTAACTATGTATCTGCTGCTGTTTTTGGTCTGGAAGGATTTATTGGTTACAGAGAATAAACCATTTATTTTTTTCCAAGGTAGAATTTAAAAAAAAAAAATGTAAACAATGCATATTCCACTTCTTTTCCACACAGGACATTTAATCTTAAGATGTCATGTGACTCCTGTTGACCACCTGAAGGTCAGAAGTTATAACCATTCACATTTTAGAGTTGTAAAGGTCTTGAGAGATTACCTGATCTGATTTTTTTTTTGAAAAAATAATTGATAAATTGCACCCCAGAAGAATTAAACCACTTAACCCCGTTTCACAAAGATAGTGACCAGCTGAATCCACAACAGGTCTTCTTGATCCCAGACCTCTTTGTTTTTTTCACTGAAACATAACAACCTATGTTTTTAAAAATCTCCTCCTCCTAAACTCTGGTTTAGCTCTGCTGGTTTGATATCTTAGGTAAATGTAGAGAATCTCCAAGGGCTACTATATCTGAACATTGTTAATCATTAGTCTTTGTCCCCTCCCCTCTTCTCTAAGGTAGAAAGAAGTTTTTCTATGGTAGAAAAAAACTATCATAACCCTGTTTTTCCCCCAAGTTATACCTTCCAGCTAGATAAATTAGACCATATTATCATACTATCTTTCAAGTTCCTGTTACTCCCGGCTTCTTTCTTGGCCCTTCTGCTTGGTAAAGAATTTCAGTATCACATCTTTATCCATTTAAAGCCTTCTCAAACTGAACTCTTTTGCCACCCAATTATTATTTTACAATTTAGGACATAAGTATTAAAAGATTGTTATGTAACTTTTTGTTTTTAAATGTATTGCAGGGGAGAATTTGCTCTTTGGCTTGATGGAGATCTCTACCATGGAAGAAGCCATTCTTGTAAAACGTTTGGGAATTATACACTTTCTAAGAAGGAAGATTTCTTTATCCAAGACATTGAAATCTGGGCTTTTGAATAAATATAATGCTGTCTGTCTTAGCAAGATAATGCCCCAAACCTGACATGGACAAGCATTGTTTTGAAAGTTCAAGTAGCAATACAATGTAACATGTCACTAACGTTTTAAAATTAGTCCGTACACTATTCATTACAGCTATAATTTGTAGTTTATTTTTAAAATCATGTTTCTGTCCCAAAGTTCTTTAGGTTTAAACCGTGGCCAAGATCTATGTAGCATAACAGCTTGGGTATGGTCAGAATTTTGACATCATTTTGATCATAGTGACCGCCTCATCTACAATCCATGTTATCTCAATCTCCTAATAGGATGGTGCTCTTTTGTTGAACCTGTTTTGGTTTATTATTTTTTTAACAATATTGATTATTTACTAGAGTAGTCTAATTGGGGTACTGAGGGAATGGAGACTAGATAGATGTTACTTAATCACTATGAGGTTGGCACAGGTGACTTTTGGACATGCTCAAGTTAGTTATTATTATGAATGAGAACCACATGCCAAAATAATGCATACTCTGTAGACTACTGAGTTCTAGTTATAATTCACACTACAACATTTTTTTATTAATTTTGAAGGTATTCTCAACTTCATTTTACTAAAAATGAAATTTGAGGAGAATTCTGGTTGTAATAGACCACCGTGCACATGATCTGCAGGTTTGGGCATATGCTTTCATCATTGAATTATCTGATAAAGATTTATGAAATGACGAAGGAGAATGAGAACTTGATGATTCTATTGGATTTAATATATTAAGCAAGAAAATACAGTATTTACATATTTGTAGCTTAGCAGGGCATTATCATAAGTATAAAACTATGAAACAGATGCATATTTCTTCAATATTGTGTCAGATTAACTGTTTTATAGTTGTTTCAGCATTGTTGTGCACCAGCCCTCAAAATGTAGTTTATTCCTGTTCAAAAGGAAAAGAAAAATGTGATTTTTTAATTTAGTGGTATGTTATTAATTACCATTAGCATTTGCTCTTACAAAAGGGCAGTGATTATAGTTGACAATATTGTAACTCAGTAGACTTGTGGAATATGCAAACTTACTGTCAAGTGACCTCAAAAAAATAAAATATAGACTATACTAGTAGTACTTATCCTCTTTTGTAGGAATAATAAGCCATTGTGGCAATAATTCATCAGTTAATTTCAAGCTTCATGTTATGCAAAAAAAATCCACAAAACCCTGCTATTATACATGTGACAGTGACTTTGTGCTGAAATTTCAGCTATTCCAGATAAACATTGTATATTATCTTGTAAATTAATGTTTAAAAGTAGTTTTGTTCTCATAGAAAGTGTTGATTGCCAGGTTGCTTATAGCACTTTGAATTATTCTAAAAATGAAATTACAAGCCAAGTATGTTGGCTTAAGTAGTTTTAGTTGTATAGCACTTGAATATATTTAGTTCTTTTGAAAGTTTAAATAATTATCTAAAGAAAGCATAATGCTAACGGAAAAAAAAATCTGATGTTCTATTATAATATGCTATTGCTGAATATAAATAGAAATCCAGGGCATCATTTCCTTGTCTATGTAAAGCTCTCTCATTGTAAATTAGTAACGGTATATAGATTAAATGTTTACAATATAAGCAATTGTAAATAAATATATCAGTTTTTTTTCCTCTTTTAGTCTTCCACAGCAGTGTTATTGTCTTTGTGGAGTTGACTAACCACCAAAAAAAAAAAAATCCTGTAATTGATTGCAATTACAATAAGGTCATAGTGGTGTACACCAAATAAAATTAAATACATATATATACAAATTTGAGTTTGGATTTATTGAATATTAAATTACTTTCATAACCTAAGAAATCTTTGATTAAATATACTGCTATCTTCTGTGTATAAAAATGCTTTTAGTTGCCTATATTAATATGATGATGGTGGTGGTGATGGAAGGGTGCATCCCAGGTAAAAGTACAGCAATTTAAAAAATAAAGATGTGTGAGAGCACTTGGTGTGTGGGAGAGTGCAAATCAGTTGATATTCTAAAGTATGTTGCTTTCTTTTGGTGAAAGGCACATAGTAGAGGAAGTTCCGTGTCATTAAGAGTTTTGTTGTGTGCGATGCCAAGAAATTTAGATTTTTTTTTTTTTTTTTTTAACCCTATAGGAGCAATTAGGAACATTTGAGTGGAGGAATGATATGATCAAATTTGCATTTTAGGAAGATCTCTGTGGAAAATAGATTAGTAGAGAAAAAAAAAACTACAAACAAGGTGGCCAGTAAACAAGTTTGTTGTATAGTACAGAGAAAAAGTTATGAGACCTGAACGAGAATAGTACAGTGGTGATAAGGAGACATGGATTTGAAAGAAATTTAGGAATTAGGATTGATAGCATTTGGTTATTGACTGGATGTCAGAGAGAACAAGTTAAGGATAGCTGTCAAGTTTTTTACTTACAATTGGGCATATTGTTCATCAAGATGGGTGATGTACAAAGAAGAAACAAGAGGATGAGGAAATGACATTAGTTATGGACCTTATTATGGTATGATTTGAGAAACGAGATTAGGTTTGGGGCGGTAGGGGCATTTAATATTCCACTCTCATAGATAAGAAGATTTAAAAATCAACTACATACAGGTAGACATTGAAGCCATATCTTATAGATGAGATGCTCTTGGAGGTTATAGAATGAAGTGAAAAGAGGATGCTTGAGATAGAATTTGGGGGCATAGTTTTATTATGTGATAGGCAGACAAAAATGTTCTTAGCTTCCATCTCAAGAGACTAGAATAAGAACAGCAAATTAAAGCAAAAGAAAATAGAAGACAGACTGAGATAAAAATATGAGCAGAAATCACTGACATTAAAACTAAATGTACAGTACAGAACATCTCTGAAAATATTAATAAAATCATGAACTAGCAAGATTGATCGAGAAAAATAAATTACATTGTTGAGAGCTTAAAAGGAGACATCATTACAACCTTTAAACCTGTGAAAATTTTTGAATCAATAAACTTGACAGTCTAGGTGAAATTGAAAAATATTTTGGAAAACAATTTATTAAATCTGACCCAAGAAGAAATAAACATTTTGTATTACAAGAACTGACTCTGTTCATTTAAAAAAAAAAAAAATCTTCCCACAAAAATCCCAGGACCAGAAAGTTCCACTGGTTAATTCTTCTAAGTATGTAAGGAAGAAATACTATCAGTCTTACTCTTCCAAGGCCACACTTCTCAAATTGCTTTTTGAGGCTCGTACAACCTTGATACCAAAAACCTTACAATCCTTACCAAAAGGGAAAGTTACAGAACAGTTTCTCTTGTGAATATAGATAAAAGACTAAATAAAATATTAGCAAATCAAAAAAATAATATAAATTGGAAAGCAGGAGTAATTAAACATTTGAAAATTAGTGTCATTTAACAGAAAAAGGAAAAAATTACATAACCATCTTTATGGAAGCAAAATAAGTATTTGCTTAAATTTAATTAGCAAACTAGAAAGAAGGGAATCTTCCTTAATCTGATAAAATAATTATCCTTGAAAAAACATACAGAAAGCATCATACTTAATGGTGAATTATTGAAGCTTTCTCCTCAAGATAGGGCATAAGACAAAGTTAATGCCTTTCCCACTTCTATTTACTATTTAGCATTGTTCTGGAACTTCTAACCAGTGCAGTAAAGTAAGAAAAAAAGGCATAAGGACTGAGAAAAATTTAAATGCCATTTATAGATGGGATGATTGTGGATATAAAATCCTCAAAAGCATCAAACTATTAAGATTAATTAGTTGATTTAGCAGTGTCACTGAATACAGGTTCTATATTCAAAAAGCAACAAAAACTTCATTTCCTTCATTTTTCTGTACAAACAGCACATAGAAAGTGAAGTTTAAAAGGTACCATTTCTAATGCTATTGAAAACATCAGATGTAACAAAAGATGTGCCACACCTCTAAACCGACAACTAAAAGTTGTGACAAAGACCTAATAAGGAAGCATATACCATACTTCTGAATTGGAAGACAATATTGAAGGATGTCAGTTCTGTCCATTAGTCTATGACGTATTTGAGTTATGACAAACTGTACTTAATACTTCCTTTTTTTTTTTTTGGTGTGTCAGAAACCCTGGTGGCGTAGTGGTTAAGAGCGGCTGCTAACTAAAAGATGGGCAGTTCCAATCTACCAGGCAGTTCTACTCCATCCTATACGGTCACTATGAGTCGGAACCACCTCGACAGCAACAGGTTTTTCCTGTTGATAAGCAAAAGGTCAGCAGTTTGAATCTACCACCTGCTCCTTGAAAACCCTATGGGACAATTCTGCTCTGTACTATAGGGTTGCTATGAGTTGGAATCGACTCAACAGCAATGGGTTATCATTAGTAATTTTGCAGTGAAAGAAGTAGCTGAAGTTTTCTAAACTAAATCAGGGGCTGCAGTTGCTTGAAAATTCGGACCCAAACGATTGCTTTGCTGAAGTCGATAGGCAGATTCAGTAAGCAGTGAGATGTCCTTTTCCAGGGACTGATCCCTCCCAATAGCATGTCCCAAGTATGTGAGACATAGTCTCAGTATCTTAAATGGAACGTGAAAAATCACATCTGCATTAAGGGACAACTTTAGCATGGTCTAAATGGTCTTCTCCTCCTTTTCGACAGAGTGGTACAGCAGTCCTTTCCCGAGCATGAGTTCCCATTGACACACAATTTTAATTTACACAGAATTATTCCTATGTCATATGAGAAACAGCACCAGTATTCTTTTTATACCTATTGGTGGTAGTTACAAAAAGAAGGAACTAGAGTTTGGGAAGAGAAAGGAAAAAGCAGAAGGCAAACTATAGGTGTAGCCTCATTTTGCAGTACAGTGTGGAAAGAATAAACCTCATTCTCAGAACGTCCTTCTTAAGTGAGCAGAGGGATAAAAAGATGAACTTGGGAATCAGGAAGTCATAAAACTTTATAAAAGCTCATAAAAGTGTATAAACATAAAATTTTATAAAGACTGGAAGGCATCAAACATTTGAATGGAGGTCCAGAAAAAGGAAAAAAATACATTTCAACAGATTAAAAAAAAAACCTTTTAAATCAGATTGAAAATTTGGAAAAACAAAATCCTGAAGATTTGGAAATCAATTGTACAGCCCTCATTACTGGGAATTTAGAATTACCAGTGGTAAAATGCTATTGATAATATATTTATTTTATGTGCTATAATATTTTGATGACTAAAAAATAATAAAGGTTTTCATTAGCCCATTTGTGACCTGAGCTCCACTTACCTAGTTTTTGTCAAAATGTCCTAAATTTCTGAACTATGGATTTTCTTATCATGGACTTTTTTGTTGTTTGTTTGCTTTTTATTTGGTAAAATAAATGTAACGAAACATTTGCCAGTTCAACCATTTTTACATGTACAATTCAGTGAGATTATGTTCACCATGTTGTACAACCATCACCACTATCCATTTCCAATTTTTCAGTGCATCTTAGGCAATAATCATTTGGTTGATTAGGGAATATTTTTGGATTGCCAAACCTGGAAATAATAGCATGACAATTAAATGAAATATTTACTGTAGGAATAATGCACAATAAAGCAGAAAAAATCTACAAGCTGTAAGTATAACAAGCCAGCTCCTATCGATGATACTTACCTAACAAGGTACTTACCAGGATGTACCTGTCACGTGGAAGGCGTTTTCCTCTAGGAAAACTAGCTTTCTGGCTTTACAACCACATCTTACTCAGAGGAGTGTTAGTTAATATAAAGGCTGAAAGAGGACTTTTGACTCCATCCTCAAATTCAAACAAATTGAACTTCGAGTAATCTATGCCAGTGCCTGTACAAACTGTTACAGACTTGAATATATATAAAGGGAGCTCTTACTGATACTAGGAGAAACCCAAGTTGCACTCTATAGTTTTGTTGTATTTCAAACACAAGAAAGTGGCATTGTGGAATGTAACCTAAAAACAGCAGTATATAAACAAAAACAAAGTGCAAGAAAATTTTTTATTCTTGTGCCATTTGCCTTTAAATTTTGACATAGGTTTCACTGTTGTGATAGAAGTGTACATCTTATATGAAATTCTACTTTAGAAATATTGGTCATTAGTTTGTAATTTTGTAAATCTACTGTGGAAACAAAAATGTACGTTCTTTTAAGAAGATACATGAACTGTCAGTTTGAAAGAGTTATACATGAAAACAAATAATTTCTATAGTAGTTTAAATTGTGTTTTAAACTTAACACTTAACAATTGTGAATGCCTGTTATTTTAAGGTGTCACAATTTGATATTAATTAATTTAGTTAACACCAAAGTGCTGTAATATCAATGCATTTTAGTAACTTTTGTTGAATTCAGTAAGAATTATAAGCTTACATGTTTCAGTTTTTATAATTATACATATAAAAAAACAAACCCTTTGCAGTTCACTCAATTCTGACTCATAGCAACCTTATGAGTTAGAATTATTTAAAGTACATTAAATTTATTCATTAAACAAAAAGCTTGACAGCTAACAGATTGGTACCAATTTTTTCTCTGCCACTGCATTGCACAACTATTTTTTTACTTTGGCCGGATTAATATTGCTGTTTTATGACTTTCAGACATTTCGTGAAGTTTTCTTTGTTACAGCATGAAATTAAAATGTTTCAAACCTATTTCTAATTTGCCAGTTTACCAAGATTCTATGAGATTCCTCTACATAGAACATTCTGTTTCATCATAGAATTTTCTGTATTTCTCTTTCATTGTGCATTGACATAAATGTAAGCAGCATGATTTACTAAGGTTTTAAAAAAAAGATGCATTTCTCTGGGAAGTCCTACAAAGGCAGGTTAATTGGAATCTCCTGCCTCTGCTCTACTCTCAGAGTGAAAGTGAACACAACCACCTTCTCTGCTGGCTCTCAGAGCACCAGTGGTGTCTGTTTTTATGTGATCTGCTCAAATCACACAGAAGGAGGAAGGCTAACCCCTATGGGGAAACCTATTAAACACCAAGCCCATGGAGGAACTTCAACAATTTCAACATCTTATTTTAAAACTTAACTTTTTCTATATGCATTTTGTAAGTGATAACTATGATAAATACAATAGTACAAAGTCAAACTTCTTAGAATATTTTAAGTTTAGTTTTACCAAACTTAATGAAACTGTTTCTATTTCTTTTCCTACCTAAAAATAATGTTGCTATCATAATATGTTCTGTTGGCCTTTACCTAAAGTCAGTATTCTTCTTAGCTGTAATATTTGTTTAATTAAACATCTGTAATAATTTCTGCAATGAATAGCCAAGTATTTTTGCCTAAAAGAGTTAGTGGAATATCAATACTGTTATATACTAACGACATTGTGCTTTCTGAAATGCTTTATTGTGTGCTTTTCAAGTCTTCAAACGCCATAGAAATAGCACTAAAAAGTTTTTATGTAAAAATTGTTTAATATTTACTAACTTATCACAGAGTTTGCATTTTAATTGTTAATGCATTAGCATTTAGCATTAAGATAATAATGGGTCAAATTTGGCTTTTGTTATTGAAGGTTCACTCCAGTAGAGTAATCACAACACGGTCATCTCGGCCTTGCCATAACATTTCTCTTTCAAAGTCTACCAGTCCATGTTTCCTGGCCCGCATGAGAATGCCCACTACTTTATCTGAAATATGAGTGTATCTGTCAAAGAGGTCTCCAAAAGTAACCTGGATCTTGCCATCTGGTCTATGGTGAGCCATTGTGCGGATAAGGAAGCACATGTCCATAATTTCTCTGTAGATGTGCTCCTCAGCTCGCTTGGCCCTTTTGGCAGTTTTGGTTCCCTCCTTGGGTCGGCCATAGCCCTCATCTCCTTTGTGTAGGCGGGTGGACATGGCCAGCTGATAATCAAATTCTTCACTGAAAGGATTGAGCTTTTGGGATTGTACGTGTTCATCAGCCCACTGCTGCCATCTCCCTTTCAAGTTGCCCACTTGGCTGTATTTCTGTTGGGCCTTGCAGTTGAGTTTCTCTGTAAATCTGCTTGCCCTAAAAGGGGAGAAAGGGTGAAGAATCAAGATAATGATATTTTAACACCCAATTATTGCTTTCACTTTTTACTTCCTGCCTATATGCATTTTAATGTAAGTATAATTTTTTCATTATAAAAGAAATATAAATAATTCAAAAAATCTACAAATGAAGGAAAAATACAGTTTCACCGTTTTCATTAGTTCAGTGTATATATTCTACATTATTTTCTCTGAATAATAATGTTTTAAGCATTATAAAATATTAAACTCTTGAAGAAAAGAATCTTCCTTACACATAGTAATGCAAATGTGTGTATCTTGAAAGTTGTGTGTTAACTACATTTTAGAATTAGAATCTTATCTATGCATTAAAGGAATCCACTTAGAGGAATGCTGAGGCCTATTTATTTCCCAAGGGTAAGGCTTATACCACCACACACAATTGCAATATTCTCTCATATATAAATTTTTATATATGAATTTTTAATGACAGCATATTGATACTAGTATCAGTGATGCACCACTAACCTCAGAATATCAAGTTGTACAGATTGAAAACATCAGCTAGCAATAGTAACATTTATTGAACACTTATTATATGTTAGCTTTCTTCTGCTTTTCATTAATGTTCCCTACAACATCCTATGAGATAGGTATTAAATTCACTTCTCAGATGAGGAAACCAAGGCCAGAGAAGTAACATGCTTTAAGTCACAAAGCTCTTAAGTGTTAGAGCTGGGATTTGAACCAAAGTTAAGCCTGCTCCAGAGCCTGTGTTCAGAACTACTGTGTAATACTGTCCTAAATCAGTGACAGCGCTAAGATTCAAACCCAAAACTGTCTGAGGCCAAAATCACTCTTCTTTCCACTCATGCAATGATGCCACGGACACAGTTTCTAACAAATGAATGTGTGTTTCAAACCTGAGTCTGTCCTTGGAATTTGGAATGCATGTTCCTATAAAAAACAGAACTGAAAAGTATAGGCCAGTAATGTTATGAAAGTGTAGGCCTAATTATAAAATGTGCAGAGTTTGCCTTTAAGAGACTTCCCTGTCATTTTTGTATCTCCCATGAAAACCCGCCGCGGTCAAGTCAATTCCTACCCATGGCGACCCTACAGACAGGGTAGAACTGTCCCACAGGGTTTCCAAGGGGCGGCTGGTGGATTCAAACTGCTGACCTTTTGGTTAGCAGCCAAGCCTCTTAATCACTGTGTCACCAGAGTTCCATCCCCCGCCAACCTCCTAGTTATTTTTCCCACTTCTCTTTGCCGTCACGGGTAAACCATGAACTCTTGTCTTGGATTTGTACTCCTCATCCTCACAAGTAGCCCACCCTCCTCCACCCTCACACCAAGTGGCATCATTACTGGAAGCATTGGATTTGGAAATGTAGTGTTGAAACTACTTACGTGAACGGAACGCCTGTCCTTGCTATTTGGACTCTCACAATTTGATGTTCAAAACACAAGAAGAAACCAGATTTGGACATCCTTCACAATCAAACTCATTTCCTGAAATCTGGTTATCGGAATGGAGGAATCAAATAGATGTGAACTGGGAGGAATTTGGGTTAGCGTTTTTTTCCCAAGAGGAATGACATCCACTAGATGGCGAGCTTTCATTAAGTTCTCATGCTCTTGTGTTTCTTAACTCCTAGCGCTCTGCTGCTAACGAAAGGTTGGCGCTTTGAAAGGCACCCTGGCGGCACCGTGGTTAAGAGCTCCGCCGCTAACGAAGCCGCGGTTCGAACCCACCAGCCGCTCAGCGGGAGAAAGAAGAGGCAATTAGCTTCCTTAAAGATTACAACCGTGGAAACCCTATGGGCAGTTCTACTTTGTCATACAGGGTCCCTAAGAGTAGGAATCAATTTGACAGCAACGAGTTTGGTTTCAGTTAGTTGCTAGACTCAGCTTAATCCTTACAGTAAAACTCAAACTGGGAATACAGTATAACACTATGATTCATTGTAGTCATCAGGAAACCAAACTCATTGCCGTCGAGTCGATTCCAACTCATGGACCAAAAACAACCGTGTATGACAAAATTACATGGAAAATAAAGCCGCATACGAAACATGTATATGCAGTCATTATATATACATACGAAAAAATACTAAGAGGAAGTACACCTTGCATGGGTATTTTCTTTTCTTCTAAACATTCTGTATTGTTTCTATATTTTTATTTTAAAAAGTCTGAAAGTATCAGGTTTAAATCGTGTTAGAACGTCTTATACCCTGAAAATCTTCTTGGTCAATGAAGCTAAGACTCAATATACCAGTTTATCTTGTTTTGTTTTTTTTTTTCAATTTAAATTGTTAAGTAAAAATGTGAGTAATAGTTTAGGGTAAGCATTAGAAAAACAATCTAGTATAAATTTAAAGAAAGCAAAGCAATACTCAATGACTGACATCTCACCCATGTTTTAGAATAGCAATATTTAATCCCGATAAACAGAAAATATTGAAGTTGTCAAGGATGTCATTTTACTTAAATCCGCAATCAATACCCATGGAAACAGCAGTCAAAAAAATCAAACGATGTATTGCACTGGGCAAATCTGCTGCAAAAGATCTCTTTAAAGTGTTAAAAAAACAAAGAGATCACTTTAAGGACTAAGGTGCGCCTGATCCAAGCCATGCTATTTTCAATCACTTCATACGCATGCATGTGAAAGCTGGACAGTGAATAAGGAACACTGAGAAAGAATTGATGCCTTTGAATTATGGTGTTGGTGAAAAATATTGAATATACCATGGAATGCCAGAAGAACAAACAAGTCTATCTTGGAAGAAATACAGCCAGATGCTCCTTAGAAGGGAGGATGGAAAGACTTCATCTTACATACTTTGGACATGTTATCAAGAGGGACCTGTCCCTGGAGAAAGAAATCATACTTGCTAAAGTAGAGGGTCAGGGAAAAAGAGGATGACCCTCAACGAGATGGACTGACACAGTGGCTGCAACAATGGGTTCAACATAGCAACGATTGTGAGGATGGCGCAGGAATAGGCAGTGTGTCATTCTGTTGTACATGGGATCACTATGAGTCAGAACCAACTCGACAGCACCTAACAATGACAACAATCTTGACCTACCTTCTTAGTCTCCTCATTTTTACTAAACAAATTTTCCTATAATCAATCAAAAATATTTTCCCCATCCTTCTATGTGCAAGGTAACTAATTCTACTAAATGTTACAAGCAATCCATCTTGGAAAGTCTAGCTTTATTCACTGAAAAAAGATTCTGAAAATTAGTTCTTATCTGTCAACTCTAAAAATGACATCAGTTTGAGTGCTGCTTTCTTATCTGAATAGGGCTGTTTAGCAAAATGATGAGAATATCATTCCAATTGCATATTGGAATCAATTTTTTTTAGTAATAAATTACAACGGGCAAATTATTAAATATGAAATAAAACCTACAGGAAATAAAAGTTCTAGAAGGTATATTTCAAACCCAACCAAGCTCAACGGCACTAAAACATTCTTCAGTAGGTGCTCTTCACCCAAATCAACAACTTCAAAATGTCATGGGCCTAGAGGCAAGTTTTTCTGGTCTACGTCTTGAATCTGTGTGAAGAAAGTAGAGATCTGCTAGTGCTGCCTCACTCATAGATCTCCTGCAGAGGGTGCATTTCTCCTCCTTATCCAGGCACCCTTCTCAATCAGTAAAGCAAGGGATTTCTGCCACCCTTCCCAACAGCATCTCAGAGAAATGCTGGGATGAGTTTTTTTCTCTTTGCATTGGTTTGCTTGCTTTTCCCCACAGGACATGTAGCTAATTTGATTAAAGGAAGCATGGCATCCATTGAGTCACATCAGAAGCATGGTAGCATGATGACTATATTCAAAAGGCCGTGTGAACATCTCTGATCAGCTGTTATGCTCTGTATTATGTTATCAACTGTTATGCTCTCTATTATGTTATCAACTAGATTGAGAGCCAGGCCTATGATTCTCTATGCAGTTAGCTTGTAATTGTCCTTACAGTCTATGGAAAGGGTTCCAAGCTCTATAATTGGGTGTAGGTAGTAGGAAGCCATACTTTTGCCTCCATTTTTAGCTAAGTTCATCGATACAGTTGTGCTAAACCACTGCACTTTGGAAGTTAATGGGATTTCATTAATTAAGCTGATGCTTTCATTTCCATTTTATTCCCAGAGTCTGTTCTCTAACTTGAGAGGCAGTCTAACATAGTGGTTAATAACACCGGCTCTGCATCAGACTTCCCAACTTCACCACTTAATAGCTGTGTGTTTTGGATAAGTTTTTCAGTTCCTTTATCTATAAAACGGCACCCTCAAGCTCAACAATTACTTTATTTATTTATTTATTTTTACTAATTAGAATTTGGAAGAGAGGATGGGTGAGTGATTGGCATTTTAATCTTCCATCTTTACTTTGTGGGAGAGGGAGTTAATTCCCTTAGTCTAAAGGAATAGGACTGAAGGAGTACAGTTACAAAATCAAAAGGCTGAATATTTAAAACATAAAATATAAACCATTTTCACAGCAAAACCACTATCGGTAAAAAAAAATTGTGTACTTTTTTTTACAAAACCTGAGTCATTTGTTTCTATTATCCATGGAACGTCTTAACCACCAAGAAAACTCTTTCTTTCTTTCTGCTTAAACATCCATGACACATAATGTTTTCGCTTTTGGGGATATGGGAGAAAGAGAGAATGGTGCCTGTATTAAAAAATAAGCGAACAAAAAACCCTTTCATATTGGCTTGCTCAGTAATGCCAGTTTCTATCTCTCAAGCAATAATGATAGTCCCATCAGACAAGAAGTCCCATTAGGCTTCTTGTGAAATTTCCTGAGCACAAATAGAATTACCATTGACATTGAAAGCTGCTGTTGCTATATACAGCATTCTGGTACCCTGTGTACTCTAAGACGGGGGGAAAGGAACCAAAGTAGGAAAGAAGAAATTTAACTTGACGAGTCCTCTTCCTCCCATCCTCATCCCAAAGAGCCAAGCTCCTTGCATCAGGAAGAGCCTGATCCCACACATTATAATAGATACAGTATATTAAGCAACTCCTCTGGATCCATTGTTTTACATACATAATATCATAGTAACTATGAAATATGACCGAGCATATCCTTTTTTTAGATGAGGACACAGGATTTGCCAAATAACCATAATTCAAATCTAATTGTCTTTTATTCCAAGCTTATGTACTCTCCATCACACTGTGAAGGTGCCCACATACATGCCTGACATCAGAAACCTTGAGAAGTGTCCTGTGTGCCAGTCTCCACTTCTGAGTGAGGCAGTTTAGATTAGTGGTCAAGAGCATGGGCTCCAATGCCAGAATGCCTGGGTTCAAATGCATGAGCTATATAATCTTAAGTTCCCTAATATTTCTGTGTCTCATGTTCACATCTATAAAATGAGGAGAAAAATTGTACCTGCCCCATGAGAATGTTGCCAGGATTAAATGAATCAATATATGAAAACTGCTTAGACAAGTGACAAAGAAGAGTCCAGCTCTATCATGTGTGGGGGATTGACACCAACCCTTATCTCCCTGTTGTTGTTAGGTGCCATCAAATTGAATCCAACTCATAGTCACACAGTGTGACAGAATATAACTGCCCCATAAGGTTTCCTAAACTGTAATCTTGGTGGCAAGGATCCCTGGTGGTGCAGTGGCTACGTGTTAGGCTGCAAACCGAAAGGTTGGCAGTTCGAACCCACCAGCTGCTCCCCGGGAGAAAGATGTGGCAGTCTGCTTTTGTCAAGATTACAGCCTTGGAAACCCTTTGGGGCAGTTCTACTCTCTCCTATAGGGTTTCTATGAGTCGGAATTGACTCCATGGCACTAGCTTTGGGTTTTGGTAATCTTGGTGGCACAATGGTTAAGCACTCGGCTGCTAACCAAAAGGTCAGCAGTTCTAACTCACCAGCTGCTCCAAGGGAAAAAAGGCCTGGTGATATGCTCCCGCAAAGAAGCCACATGGGGCAGTTCTACTCTGTCATATATGGTCGCTATGAATCTGAATCAACTCCATGGCACACAACAACAATCTTTACAGAAGCAGATAGTCAAGTCTTTCCGCTATGGAGCCACTGGGTGGGTTCCAACTGCTGACTTTTTTTAGTAGCCAAGCACTTAACCATTGCACCACCAGGGCTCCCTCTCATCTCCCAGCTTCTGGCCAATTCAGAATGTGCCAACAATCCTTATTCTGTTGGATTCTATTATTCCATTTCTATTATCTCCTCTGTCCCTCAAAAATCCACAGGGCTGGAAATTAAGACTATAGTTCCTTATGTTCTGGTAAAATAGTTACTTCTGATCATGAATTACTATATAAACGTAAAAACAAAGCAAAACAAAACCTGTTGCGACCCTATAAGACAGAGTAGAACTGCTGTATAGGTTTTCAAGGAGTGGCTGGTGGATTCAAACTGTCGACCTTTTGGTTAGCAGCTGAGCTCTTAACCACTTCGCTAATGTAAGTAAAGCATAAATCAAAATCCTCAGCACGCCCTCAAGGCACCACGTGAGGATTAGCACCATGCTGGGTTTCAAAACACTGCATTTGGAGTCAGGCAGATCTCAGTTTAGTGAAGTCACCTAACTAACTTACTAGGTCACCTTCCTAAGTTTCAGCAGGATAATACCTATCTCACTGAATTGTGAGCATGAAAGAGACAGTGCATACAAAATTCCCAGCACAGTACATGCCACACACTAAATGTATGACAGACCTAAGAGTGCCATTCTATTTTTCCTGGAAAAAAAAAAAAAAAAAAAAACCGTTGCCGTTGAGTTGATTCCAACTCATGGGGTTTTCAAGGAGCGGCTGGTGGATTTGGACTGCTGACCTTTTGGTTAGCAGCTGAGCTCTTAACCACTGCGCCAAAAGCTCACAATATATAATAGTTCTACTTCTATCAAAACAGTTTTAAAGTCACAAACTGTATGACAGCTTTCTGTTAAATACAGTAACCAATTTTGTGTTATTTCTGGTTGCTTCATTAAATCCATTGTGTCGATTCCAATTCACAGCAACCCAATAGGACAGAGTAGAACTGCCCCATAGGGTTTCCAAGGAGCAGCTGGTGGATTCAAACTGCCCACCTTTTGGTTAGCAGCTGTAGCTCTTAACCACTGTGCCACCAGGGCCCTGGATGCTTCATTAGCCATTGGAAACACATCTACACATCTAACTGTTCCCAGAAGGCATCTGTTTATAAGCATCATGACATCAGGGTCTTCTTCATGTTTTGATGCCTTGTGGTTGCAGAGTGAGATATTCTAACTTTATATTATAAGTGGAGCGGTTGTCTAAAATAAAGCATGTGTTTCTTGACTGAATAAATGGTTTAGTTTGAGTCAGTGTGTATATGTGTGTGTGCATTTGTATGACAATGAAATGTTTTAGGAAAGTGATATTTTAATTACCTAGCTTTAGTAGCATCTCTGTCTGCTGACAAATAGCAAATTTTTTTTTTTTTGTGAAGTTTGAAAAGTTGCTAAATAGTAGAATCTATATGAGTAATAATAGCTTTCATATACTGAGCATATGTGGCAGGCACTGTGGTAAGTTTTGGGGAGCCTTAATCTCATTTACTTGTCCCAATAGGACAGAACCTATTCCAAAGGATTACTATTCCCATCATTTTACAAATGAGGAAATCGGCTCAGTAAAAGAGCAGAGCTGGGATTTGAACTTGAGTCTGCCTGGTTCCAGAGCCCACTCTCAGTTTAGACAGTCACCCATCTGTTTACAGAGTCATAGAGCTCTGTGTTCTGTGCACGCTATTTGGGTAGAAGTATCTCCTGGTGATATTATAGACTGATCTGGGCCAGGATAAGATGTCCCCAATCAGTCTATCAGCAAGCACTTTTTTCTCCAGAAAAATAAGCCAATTTGTTACTCATTATATAAATGACCTAAAATTCACCTAAAACAGACACCCCTCTCTGTTGGCTTCATCCTTATTGAGGCTAAAACTTGGGTGTTCAGTTCAAAACAGAAAAGAGAAACAAAGTAGTATGGTCCTTGTCTGAGGATGGCACTGCTTTTTTAGCTCAAGGGCGTGTCCCCATGTGACCCTCACTGTTTGCCCAATCTTGGAGATTCTCACTCTAACTTTGGTAGTATTTCCCTGTTCTCTTGGTTCCCAAAGCTGGTTGGGGCTAAAGTTAACAATCTTGGTATAAGGCAGAGTAGTCCCTGGCTGGTGCAAATGGTTAACTCACTTGGCTGCTAACTGAAAGGTGGGAGGTTCAAGTCTACCCAGAGATGCCTTGTAAGAAAGGCTTGGCTATCTACTTCCAAATGATCAACCACTGAAAACCCTATGGAACATAGTTCTACTCTGACACACACGGGGTTGCCATGAGTCAGAATGAACTCGACAGCAACTGGTACTAAGGAGCAGAAGAGTGCATTCACTTACTGGGAGGGCAAGGGGCGTTTGATTCTGATAGCAGCCACCTGCTCTCTTTCCTCCTCAGGCCGCTCCTCCGTCTCCCCTCCGTAGCCACTGTCCTCTGTGTCTATGCTGTCACTCCTCCACCTGGGTTCATCCTGTTCCATCTCTTTCCAGCCTTTGGTTAGTTCAGACACCAGGTTGCCACACTTCCTCCTCCGCACTGGGGAGACATGGCTGTAGAGGATTCTGTCGATGTCGTCTTCTGGCTGCCCAGATTCAAGCAAGTCACCGTCCTTCTCGTACCTGTGGCTGAGGTGGCTCATGTCCCCTCTTCTCTCATAAGCCTTGCTGACAACCGTTTTGGTCACCTCTTTCTGTTTGATAGTGGAGACTTTAGAGGCTCCCTCTGAGCTTTGTTCATCTCCATGTCCCTCTGGCTGTTGGGATGGAGACTTTAGGACACTGTGACCTTTCTGGAGAGGAGTGGGATGTATCACCCGTTTAGGGACTTGGGTTGAGTCCTGGGTCCCTCCAGGCATCCATCCTGCAGGCTCCTGGGCCTGCTTGATGCTGTTCTCATTTGCCCACTGCTGCCAACCTCGGGCCAAGTTGATTACCAGGGAGGCTGTGCGTACCTTCCGGAGGGTCCTCTTGGCTGGCCCTTCCTCCGTTTTCTTCTCTCCTGGAGCCATGCTGCCCTTCTCTTCTCTGCTGATAGCCTGGGCACTGGCTGAAATGAGTGCAGTCTGGTGAAGTGCCTGGGATTTAAATAGAAGCAGGGTGTGGGGTGGGAAGGAGAGCTTGGTGACGGTGGAAACTATGTTAAGCATTTCTTGCCAAGATGTGGTGCCTTCATTCTGACACTGTTCTTTTTTAAACTCTGACGGCTCCAGTTTCATCATGGCAGAGGGACATCTCTACTGGTAAAGGATGGTGATATGCTCACTCCCTTCCTTCTCCAAGTGCCAGAGTGGAAATTACTAGATCTGATCATGTTCGCAGTCTTAAGCTTTTCTCGACCTTAAAATGTGCTCCTACCATTAATAGCATACAATACGTGCACAAATTGTGCTAGGAACATCGTAGGCTTGTTCTCTTTGAATGTCAATAGTACTCTGTGTAAGTCTTAATTAGCCCCATTTTGTAGATGAGTAAAATAAACTGTGACTTCCTACAGCTAGTAAGATCTGAGATTCAAACCCAGACCTGTCTGATTCCAAAGCTGTGCTTTTGCCACTACAAAATGTCATCTTCCACTCCAGTTATCAAAGAGCCTAAATTGCCCTTTTCTTTTGTCTTCAACTCTTGTTAGAAATAGTCATCTCATCCAACTTTTATTTTCCAGATGAGAAAACAGAAGCCCAGTTAAGTGAAGAGACCAAGGCCCAGATAGTTAGAGACTAGTTTTCTAGCCCTAGATTTGATTTATTGTATTGACAGGCCACATTAATATACAAGAGGATAATAAATTTCTGATCCAATCATTAAAAAGTTTTAAATTAAAAGAGCTGTGTACACATTGAATTTCAGAGATTATTTTTACAATACGTCTTTTTAAATATTTTGTAAAAAGAAAAGACTGTTTATTTAAAGACAAAATAAATTAGAAGTTTTTAATAGCAAAACCTTACTTAGCTGGCCTTCGGGTTCATGGAAACAAAGCCACCTTTTCAATCTTAAAATAAAGCCTGAAATACAACATTGTTTAAAAAGGTCTGCAAAGATAGGTCATTTGGACAGAAAAAAAGAAAAAAACACCTATGAAGTGTAATAACCATTTCTGTCTAGTCAATTCCAACTCATAGCAACCCTATAGGACAGAGTAGAACTGCCCCATGGGGTTTCCAAAGAGTGGCTGGTGGATTTGAACTGCCTACCTTTTGGTTAGCAGTTGAGCTCTTAACCACTGTGTCATCAGGGCCCATGAAGTGTACTAAGCCAAATAAAAAAATGCTGGGGGCTCAGCACTCTCAGCACTGAATAACTCTTAAAGTAAGACAAATAAGAGAATTTTTAAAAGTATAACACCTCTGTAGTCTTTAAAACTCTATCCTTTCCTCCAATCTTGACATGCAGTTAACCATACTGATTGAAAACCACTGTCAAAGGGTATATTAAAAAAGTATGAAAGTTAATTATTTCTGATGGTGAGATATTTATTTTGAAAAAAAAAAAATGTTGATGTCAGTTTTCCGTAACGTAGGTCATTTACCTCCTAGGATTAAAACAATATGGGAAATTATTTAATTATCTAGAAATCTGTAGATGTGTTTTGAGAGTTTAGCAGCATCTTATAATGTTAACAGAGGCCCAGCAACACAGAGGCAAAATCGCTCTTGAATAAGTAAGAGGAAATTGGATCACAAGGAAAGAAAACTATTACAAATAAAGATTTGAATCTAAGTCTGAAATTTCTGGCATTCCTTCTGCAGACTGCAGGCTGGTTCCTGTCCGATTCCCTTCATCCCACTTGGAAGGCCTTTGGGAGGAATGGGGTTCCTCAGAGATGCCCATAAGCTTAGCCCAAGATCAGGCTAATTTATAACTTTCAAAGGGATTTTTCTGCTTCCTTGCCCATACTTGCTCCACATTCAAATCTGATAGAGGGAGAAGGAATGCAGACAGCAAGGTGTTAATAATCTTTCACATATTAATAGGTATCAGCTGCCTAGGGTACAGGACTGTCAGCAGATGGTCCTTGCAAAAAACAGAGGCAGCTTCTTAAAGAATGTGGCCATTCCTTCTGGTATTTCACCTCCGATGCAACTGTGGTCCTTCATTCATACTTTCACATGAGAAAGCATAGAGTCCTTTTCCTCCTCAGGCCTATTTTGGGCCTTTCTTCCCTAAGGCAAGGTCTACATGCTACCTACTGGGCATCTTTTTTGGGGGGGAGGGGGGAGGGGACCTGGTGGCACAGTGGTTAAGTGTTTGGCTGCTAACCAAAAGGATGGCAGTTCAAATACACGAACTCCCTGGAAACCCTATGGGACAGTTCTACTCTGTCCTATAGGGTCGCTATGAGTTGGAATCAACTGCACGGCAGTGGGTTTGGTTTTTTGGTTTTGGGCATCTTTTGATTACCATAGAAATGCTATGCTCTCTTTCTCAACCTAAATCAAGAAATTTGTCACAAGTGTGAAAGTGTTTTGAAAAAAAAAAACAGAGATGTTATTTGATTATATGAATAATACCAGAGAGGGAGGGGTTGTTGTTCTCTGCATGATAGATAGGGAACTCAGGTAGAGCCAACTCTCATAACCAGCTATATAATCTTACTAAAGAGACTATCGAAACCTACATAACGTAATAAGTCCTTTACTTGCTTAGTTTCAGAGAAGTGGTCATGAAAGACTTCAAATGAGAGAGAAAAAGATCCTCCATTGTTCATAAAGTGCCTACAATGAGCAGGTCACTATGATAGACAATATCGGTGGGAGTATAAAGCTGAACAAAACCAAACCTTTTTTCAAAGTTTTCCCAATCTATCCATGACAGGAAATACATACAACTGCCTTCAATAGTTTGGAGGTTTCCACATTAGAAATATAAATAGTCTTATGGGAGCATTGAGCAAAGGGTGATTGATTTTATTGGAAGGACTTCACAGAAATGGTGAGCTTTTGTCTGGACCTTAAGAGACAAAGAGGGTTTTACAAGGTAGAACAAGGGCACTATAATCTAAATAAATAACATGAACAAAGTTGTAAAAGCATGAAGATAAATGGTACATTTAGAGACCTTATAATGGACCAGAGTAAAGGTCACAAACTCAAATGTCTACAAGGTCAGGCAGGTACCTTAAATGCATGAGGTGAGTTGGGCTGGGGACACAACATGGGGTAGCAAAGACCATGAGCAACTCTTGAAATAATTTTACAAGAGAACTAAGAGATGTCAGTTTTTACATGAACTTTCCCAATTCTTTAAATGTTGACGGTTAACACACACACACACATACACATCACACTCTATGTGCACTGGGTGAACCAACATGGTGCATCAGATTCTGCAACATGGACCAGATTCTGCTGAGAGCCCCTAATGTATTACATTTGGAGAAGAGCATACAGTGTTTACAAGGTATGGAAAAGGGGCCAGGGAGTGGTAGTCGATGTCTTTGAAGAAGAGCTTTGAAGCCTTGTGAAGAAAGGCTTGCTAAGGAACTGGTGTTCTATCATGTGGGGCTCAGAGCATCACTGAAGGATTTTCAGCCTTGGTGTGATACCAAATTTGTCTCTAGAACCAACAGAGTAGGATTTAGATTTGAAAAAGGTGAAACAGTTCAGAAGTGTTACTAAAATAATCTTGGAAAGAAGCAAATGAGGATCTGAAAGAAGTTAGTGGGCATGGCGAAGAGGATCTGAGCACCACTGAGGTGGGGGGGGGGTCACATCAAGAGGACATGGGGACCAACTAGTTGCTGTGGATGAGGGAGTGTGAAGGATGATCCAGAGATTTCTGATTTGTGTGATAGGTGTGAAGAGGTGACATTAGCTGGGATAGGGGAGAAGGAGGGAATTTGTGGCAACAAGGAAGAGTTTTCATCTTGAGTTGAGGAAGCTCTGGGATGTGCATGTGGACATGTCCAGTAGTGGGAGTAATCAGGAGTATGGGCCCTGGGGTCAGACAGAACAGTGTGAAACTCCAGGCTCTTCTGGTTAGTTGGGTGACCTTGGGCAAGTTATTTAACTTAAGAGTCCACTTCTTCTCCTATAAAATGACTATTATCAGAGCACCTACCTCATAGCTTCCAGGCGAGGATTAAATGCGTTAACATGTGTAAAGCACTTAGCACCGTGCCTGGCACATGTAAACACTCAACAAATGGTTGCTGCTATTAATATCTTGATGTCAAGCCACAGATGTTACCAAATTAAATTCTGTTTGACCAAGGACAGGATGGGTAGCAGAGCCAGGGCATGATGAGTCTTCAGGTGGGAGGGTCAAGTGAAGTCACCTGTAGGGACAGGAAGCTTCAAGGGAAAGCTTATTTATAGTGTTTTATTTTAAGGTAATTTATTGAGGAGCTTTTAAGGTTGCAGCTAAAAGGTTTTTCTTAGCCTGATGGAGGGTCAGACTAGGTCTCAGTTACTTGGTAGTGATAATAAAGAGTTATACGCAGAATCTCTCCTGGGACCTCTTGGGATATAGAGTTCAGAGGTTTGCAATCACTGAATCATTAGAATTCTAAATCACATCAGAATCACCTGTGGACCTTTAAAAACTACAGATGATGAAGTGCTGTCTTGGGTGAGTTCTGGCACCAGCTGACTCTAACATGCCGTTGGGATTGAGAACCATGGTTCTAGCCTCTAGAGTGCTAGAGACAATTACCCTACAGGTTTTAAGACTGTAGTGACCAATAGATCAGCATTAGATTCAGGTAGATTGGTTTTGCATTCTGTATCTCCTTTTAGAATCTGTGTACCCGTGGAAGAGTTATTTAACTTCTCTGAGACTCAATTGCCATAGCTGAAAATGTGGGTTGTTGTCAGATTTATATGAGTTAATGTCTGTGAAGCAATAGTCCAGTGCCTGACACATTTTATTAGAGCACCACATGGAAGGAATTAATGTTGTTTTTTATACTATTATTGATGATAACAATGACACCTTCTGAATAAATGACCTGCAATATTTTTACAAAAATAACGTGCATGTTCTATGCTTCTTTGCCAACCATGCCCCCTGCCGGCAAGGTATTTTTTGTAAGTGTGTTATGCTGATTTTTTT